CACAGCAGGTATCACAACCTACATCCCTACCATCTACGAGTACCACTACTACAGTGACAACTACGAATACAGGGACACATGCGACATTTAGTTCGGGTATAGCAACAGCTCTCCCCCCACCACTGTCTACAACACCTTCCGTGCGCGCTACTCTTCGCAACCGTACACTGCAATTCACCGAACCGCCAGAAATTCTCGTCTCCCCCCCACCTTCTGACAGCGATCCTTACGAAACATCCCACATTAACACACAAGAACCTATCACGAGACCCCCACCAATTTTTTATAGGCAAAATCACAATTTGCATAAAACTATAAAATCTTGGGATCTAAAATTCCCAGGACCGCTCGACGCAGACGAATTCATCGACGAATTTGAACGCAAATTACACGTTTCAAATATCAATCCCGATGACGCGCTCGCGACGATGTCCCAAGTACTTGCCGAATCTGCGTACACGTGGTTCGCAACATTCCGCAATTCTTGGAACACGTGGACTGAATTTTCAGCCAAATTTCGCTCGATATTTGGCGAATCTAACGATGATCAACGCATCACGAATAAAATTCAACGCGCCGTCCAACTTGAAGATGAATCCGGAATTGAATTTGTAATAAGAATAGGTTCCTTGTATAATAAATTGCAACAAAAAGTCCCAGAAGAAAAACAACTAGACAAAATTTACTCGGCTCTTCATTCTGACTTAATTTTACAGTTTGACCGTGACAGTTTTATAAATTACGACGGTATAATTCGAAAAATTCGCAAATACGAAGAAAAAATAGCAACAATGCAATTTACTTCAAAAATTCGCGAACAAGACTCGAAAAAAACTCGTAACTCCCGCGGTAAAAATCAATTAAACGCAATTGAAACTTTCCCGCCCACAACTGATCCCGCTCAACAAAATAAATCGGAAAAAGAACCAAAAGCGGAAAATGCGTCAAAAAAATCTAAAAATAACAAAAAACCAAATAAAAGCGAACCAGAAGTTAGTTTAAATAAAGTAGAAATTTACAAACAACAAATTAAAAGATTAGAAGCAAAATTACCAACAAGCGAAAAACAAAAATCTGAAAATAATCAGAGCAGTAAAAAGCCACCTGCCTCCCCACCACCGGCCCGTAAATCACGCCGCCGATCCACTTCCAGGTCTTCTCGCTCCTCACGTTCCGTTTCATCGCGACGAGAGGGGGGAAAACGTAGATCGCCAGCGCGTAAAACTCGTGACCACAGCAGAGACTCGAAACGAGACAAAGACCGCAGTGACGGACGCAGACACGAAAATCGCAACCATCGCGGACGCGGAAACAAAAACGGATGGAATGGTCGTGGTCGTGGTAATAATAATTATGATTATTACCAATACCTCTCGCAATTCTGCCAACCCGGCAACGCGCAACAACCATTCACACCCCCGCAAATACCCTTGCCACCTCAAGTACCACCTTGGTTCGGCAATCGCGATTTTCCAAATACCCACGGTTTCAATGCACCTAACCCTTTTTCGCCAAAAAACGAGATAGATGCCAGGAGAGATTAAATCTCCCTGGCGAACAAATAATTAATTCAAATAAAAATTCGGAAAATCCCAACGATAAAATTGTAAAAATAAATAACCGCGATATTATTGACAACCGTGTAATACCAAGTTGCAGCCACACCGCAAAGGACTCAACGTGTATTCCTCAAAATGCATCAGCGCTGAATCAAGCGCATGCCAGTAGGAATTTCACTAGTGACTCCGAAAGCGAATACGATGACAATTGCTACTCGGAATCCGAGACGGAGTACTCAGACTCAAGCGACGAGCTCATCCCCACTACCGCACACACTAAGACGGCAGAGGTGAGCATACACTCGCTTACGTCGAAGCCCTTGTCACAACCAGCTGTTGGCTTACTAGCAGCAGCCAGTAAATTCAAGCGCTTAGTACACAAAGGGCCTGCATTGCCCTTACCGCCACAAAAACGGAACACGATAACCACAACAATAAATATCGGCGATAAACAAATTATCAGTCTTCTCGACACAGGTAGCGATCGTACCTTTATGTCCGGAGAATTATACGATTTAGTTAAAGAATTCGCGAACGGTGACCCAATTCAAGATGCAATAACTCGTGCAGGCGTACAATTAGCTCAACGCGACCACGTAGCCGCGCCCCGTTATTCCGCAAAATTTGATGTTACAATTAACGATTGTACTGGCGAATTATGGTTTGCAGTCCTCGATGGACTGACCACGCCCATAATATTAGGCATGGACTTCATAACCGCATGGCAAGTCGTCATAGACGCCAGTAAAGGTTATTGGTCCATCGAAGATTCAAAAACACAGAATCCTTTTATCCCAGCAAATAACTCGCGTAATTTTCTAAATTCGGTGCAATTATTAGAATTAACACCCGAACAAAGAAAAATTTTAGATGAATTTGTAGAAAAAAAATTATCAAATTTCGCAGAATATACCGGCATCACGAACTTAGCAACTCACGTAATTGAACTGACGAATCAAACCCCGTTTAAACTCAAACCTCATCGTTACAGTTTAGAAGCTAATAAAATAATAAATGATCAAATTGATAAATATATCGAAAAAAGATTTATAATTCGAAGCTTCGGTCGATTCGCGAGTCCTATTGTCTTAACTTATCGTAAAGATGGCAGACCAAGAGTTTGCATGGATTTCCGAAAATTAAATAAAAACACTAAAAAATCTGCATATCCTTTACCGCGCATGGATACTATCCTCGACGCGTTATTCGAAGCAAATATAATCAGTACAATAGATCTTACTGATGCATTTCATCATATTCCAATTCACCCAGATTCACGCGAATATACCGGTTTTGTAGTACCCGGACGTGGACAATACGAATGGGTTAGAATGCCCTTTGGCCTCACTAACTCACCAGCCACTTTTCAAGAATTAACTGATAGGCTGAAAGAAAAATTTGTCGAACACATTCGCACGAACAATTTACCTGAACAATATATCGATCAAGTACACGCGTATCTCGATGACTGGATTATTATCTCTAAAACGTTCGATGAACACCTTTTATTGTTAAATATTGTCTTTGATATTCTTCACAAAGCAGGTTTAACAATAAACCGAGAAAAATCATTTTTCGAAAAATCTTCTGTCGAATATCTCGGCTTTGTTCTCGACAAAGAAGGTCTTAAACCCAATCCGAAACGCGTAGATCCAATTCTCGAGCGTCCTACACCCCGTAACCGCAAAGAATTACGTCAATTTAACGGCTCCGTAAATTGGTATCACCGTCATTTACGTAATATCGCGCGAGTACAAGGACCGTTAAATAAATTAGCAAGTCCCAAAGTACCGTGGAAATGGACAGAAGAGCACGAAAAATCTTATCAAGAAGTAAAAAATTTATTAAAACATGCTTTAACGTTAAATCCGCCGCGACCAAATTTACCATTCTTCTTATACACAGACGCAAGCGACACCGGCATAGGTGCAATTCTCACTCAAAAAGACGGAGATATTGAATATCTCATCACATGCCTAAGCAGACCTTTGAGAGGTGCAGAGTTAAATTATACTACCACCGAGAAGGAATGCTTGGCTGTGATCTTTGCGATTAAGAAATTGCGATGTTATCTCGAAGCGACAGAATTTACGGTAATTACCGACCATTCAAGTCTAGTTTGGTTGCAAAATTTAAAAGATTCGCGAGGTAGACTTGCGAGATGGGCATTAGAATTATCGGCAAATAATGCGAAAATTGAGCACCGCAAAGGTACAACCAACGAAGCAGCTGACACTCTATCGCGCCTTTACGAGAACGTCTCGGAAGACACGCCCTCCTCACAGCTAAGTCACACCCACAGCGTATCTTGGTACGACGAGATGGTTGAACGTGTACGTAATACCCCCATGCGCTACGAACGATACAGACTCGACTCGAACAGCGAACTGTACTATTACAAACCAAACCAACTCAAAGAAACCATAGGCGATAACAACGCATGGAAGAAAGTGTTAAAAGAAAGTGAAATACTCCCGATTATTTCCAAATATCATGACACCCCACAATCCGCACATCAAGGAATTAATAAGACTTACTTGTCAATTATTAATCACCATTATTGGCCCGGTATGCGCGAAGATATTAAAAGATATATCGACGAATGTGAAATTTGTTTAAAATGCAAACCTAAAAACAAACCCCCTCAAGGACTCATGTATCCGCGTAAGTTCAACGAACCATGGGATGTTGTCTCTTTAGATATAGTAGGACCACTTCCGCGATCTAAATCAGGAAAATCCTTCATTCTAGTTTGCGAAGACATTTATACGCGATATATCGAATGCTTCGCCTTGACAAAAGCCGACGGTCCAAAAATCGTTAAGTCATTAAACACTTTAATTAACAAATGGGGAACACCCAGAACATTTGTCACAGACAATGGAACCGAATTCGTCAATCGAAATATTACGAAATTCTTAAACGAAATTGGTTCTGACCAACGCACGACTCCGGTTTATCACCCACAATCTAACCCCGTCGAACGCGTAAATCGAAACCTAAAAACGATGATCGCCAGTCTTCTTGGCGGAAATCAACGCGAATGGGATTTGTTTTTAGAAGAAATACAATTCGCTTACAACACTACCGTCCATTCCTCTTTAGGTGTAACCCCTGCCTTCTTAAACTTCGCACGCGAACCAAGACGCACGGGAGAACAAAAACTCGAAACTAACGCGAAAATGACAACCGACAATACAACCAATGACTGGTTAGAACGGATAAAACGCATAGATGTCCTTCGTGAAAAAGTTCAAAAGTTAATGACTAAAGCATGTGAGAAACAAAGGAAAGTTTATAACAAAAACCGCAAAAATGATTTACATTTTGAAATTGGCAATCTAGTGTTCTACCCGAATAATAAATTATCCAAAGCAATTGAAGGTTACAGTTCAAAACTAGCGCCTCGATATAAAGGCCCAGCTATCATAACAGAAAAATTATCTCCTATGGTGGTAGTCATCAGCGATTTGCAAAAGAAAAGAATTGGCAAATACCATGTCAACGATTTAAAACCAGCAAAAAAGGGCCTTCGATCGCAAAACAATTTGTAAATCTCTTTTGAGGTTCGTTATGGATTCAACAAACAGCAACGACATCGACAACTCACCAAACTCCTTCGAGATCTTATCGACTCAGATTTCCACGGTCTCTGAAGATGGAAATCAACTGGGGTTCGACCAACAGCCAACTGGTCTAATCGCGTTGAACAAAGACAACTTCGACTACTTAGTTAACTCACGCCAAGAGCTATCTAACCAGTTAGTGGAAGCCAACCAAATCATCGCCACACTTCGCGAAGAAATTTCTGCAATCAACGAGAAACCCAACAACAGCGGCGTTCCAAACATGGCAGCGCACTACAAGCTGCTCACCGATCTACTCCTCGAGAAGCAAAATCTCGCTGAGCAACTCGCGAAGCACGAAAATGAAGCCGCCCAGCACGAAGATGAAGTCGCCCTCCACAAAGCTGAAGCCACCCACTTCAAGGCTGAAGCCGCAAAATTACAGAAGATCGTTGATAGCTACGAAACAGATTATAACGCGCTTTTGGCCGATTACAACTATATGGAAAAGCTTCAACTCCGTACCCGCAATCTCTTCCGGCATAAAATTTCCGAAGTTTTTAAAATGCAAGCGGAACTTCGCGAAATACGAATAAGGCCCAAGGCTCCCGATGGCTGCCTCAACTGCAGTATGCCAGGACACAGCTTCAAATTCTGCCGAAACGAGTACACTGGACGCTTCTGTCAAAAGTGCGCGAACCCAGATTTTAGCACCGACGAATGCCCATGGCCACATGTGGCAGAAGGAAAATTCGACATTCCAGATCACCAACGCTGTAAGACTTGCAAACGACCAAAGAATCTACCAGACGTTAACTGCGGTGAATGCCGCAAACGAGAAATGGAACGCAGAATCGCGAAGCGCGACCAGCAAATGCTTGAAGTCATAAAGCAAACAAGCAGTCTACAAATCACCTCGAAACCGCTACCCGCGCAAGAAAAGGGCGCAATTCCCAAGTTGGTCTCCCTACTCAAGCTTGAAGAGCCTTTGAACGAATCTTCACCACGAGCAGAGACTACATCGCAAACTCCGCCCCAAAAGCAGAAATCTTCGCGAAAAACAATTTCTCGAGATGACAAAAATGCTTGCGAACTTGCAAGTTCTAACTCGCGAAAACAACCCCCAGCATCTCCACCTTCAGAGAACGACACCGGAAGTGAGCCTAGAGATATCTGCAAAGTCCTCGCACCATTCGACTCGGACGACAATAACATTGAACTGTGGAAGACGCTATCTCAGGCTTATGAGTTAGGCATCGAAAAAGAAAAAGAGTGACTCGAAAATGTTCGCGAACAACAAAAAAAAAGTGACTTGAAAATGTTCGCGAATAACAAAAAAATATAACTTCGTTTAAAGACTTTTTAGTGCCTTACAAGGACATTATATGCTGTGATTAAGACTAAGTGTTTATGTACAACATACCAATTCTCAAATCTTGTATTTTGCGTTAAAAAAAAAAAAGAGAAACTTATCACATAGCATTTTAGTTTATAAGATTTTCTTACATTTTCACGTTCAATGGAACAAGAATTCCAAAAAAATTCGCACACGTTTTGTTACATTTATATGTTCTACTATTTCGCTAAATAAAACATTATAATTCGATAAATTAGTGATTTACTTCCTTAAAAGAGAACGAACGTTAACAAGTACTAATTTTCCTTTTATTTTTTCAGAAATGGAATCTCAATCATTTTTAAAATTTAAACTAATAATTTATTTTCTTTACCAATCAAGTTTTGATTTCTTATTCACAATGGTCAATTAAGATGGACTAATATTGCGAAAATTCTTTTGTATGTTCCAATAATCATGTTCTTTCAGCACTAAGTACCGAATACTGCAGTAACTCCGACTAAGTAAGGGGGAATGTAACGAACCGAATTAATTATTATATTCGCAGTAACTTTGCATTCACAATTTAAATGTCAGTCTTCGATGTTCGATTATTAACTATCGATTATTGATATCGCGACGCACGAATCGATGCGATACTTCCCATAGTCGAGAGAGCAGACGACAAAACCGCGTGCTAAGCAAAAAGACGCCGAGCCGGCAGATTGTTGCGAGCATCGCCTGAAGGCACACGAATAGTGTATCATTCGCGAACTCACTATTACTTTGTAATTTCTTTGTCTACTGTTGATTCTTATTGAATAAATAATTGAATTCTTAAATTAAATAAACGTCGCGAAAGTAGTGAGTTATTTCATAGTGTCCTTCTTATTTCCCACTATTGGATATTTATTGTTCGTCGCAGAGAGCCAGCATCACCGGTAAGTCCATCTTTCTACATGGCCATTGCTCTATAGTACTTTCAACACGTTCTTTCTCTCGCTCTCTGCCAATACTGTAGTCGCCCCCGGAGGATTTTTATCAGAGAAGTGTGTGAGTATCATTGTGCTTTCCGTCGCGAGTCGAACCCATACTATTAAAATAAAAATTAATTCAGATTTATCAATAGAAAATTAATCTCGCGATCAGGGCTGTCACATATTCTATAAAGGAGTACTACACTAACTGCATAAATCATTTTTCCATTTTTCTCCGTGTACTTATCATTCAACTTATATTAACGAACTTTCGTTTAGTTTCATGAATTCAACATAGAATTAGAGGCGATCAAATGAATGAAATGTGAGGAATACACTCGGGGTAAAGTCGCTCACGTGAACTCGGGGTGAAGCCGCTCACTTAGTTTTAAGTTAAAAATTTAGAATAAAATAATTTCACGTACTATATTTTAACAATAACAGAATTTATGACTTATTAAAACCAAAATTGTAACTATGTTTCACTTTCTCTTAATAAAATATAACATTATTTAAATCCATAGTTGTAATTCATGAAATCTATCTTCATTATTTATTAAACCAATTTTAATATTTAAAAAATAAAACTGTTTCGTCTTGAAAAGATAAAGTCAGCGGATTTACCCTGGAAAATTGTGATTTCGAAATTTGGTATATGTGTGTTAAAAAGTTTCTCTAACAATAAGTAAAACTAAAAAAGATAAATTAAAAACTCTTTTTTATTTTTTTAGTAGAAATCACAAGCTTTCAAATGAAATAAATTAACTTAGATTTAGAGAATAATTTCATAGATTTTAACCGATCTGAAAAAAGTGAGCGGGTTTACCCCAGTCTCCCCTACATTTGAAAATTTAGAATTTGAAAAAAATGACTTTTATCGAAAATTTTTATTTCGAAATCTATTGATTCTACAAAAAAACTCATTTATTCAAAATTATAGAGAAAATGTCAATTTTTTATATTTAAAAAAAAGTTAAGAAAAATTAATTTTTCAATAATTTGTTTAAACAATAATTCTTTATTGTTATAAAACCATGCTAGGAACATCATGGAATTTCATTAGAAAAATTTTTTTCTTAAAATTTGATATATTTCTAACTTTTTTATAAACATTATTTTCCTTTTTTAACCCATTAATGCTTATGAGCACAGGAACGCAAATATAAAAAAGTGACAATTGGGATCCTGGCATGGGGTCTAATAATAATTTTTGACGTTAAATATTTTGTTTAAAAAATTTTTAAGGTCAAAAACTCTCCTAATTTAACTAATTTTGTTTAAAAAAAATTTTAACTTCAAAAACTATCCTTATACCTCATACAGAATAAACACAGGCTAATTGTTTTTAACATTTTTACAACAATAGGTCTTTTTTTTAAAATTATATAATATCCCTGGTAAAAATTTCAGACTAATTCCGGATTAAATGCGGACAGATTAGTACGGATTAGTCCGAAAATTGTACGAAAAAGGTCCGAAAATGATCCGTGCTAGTCTGATATCAATCTGAACGAAAACCTAAATCCTAAATCAGTCTGGGGTAATCTTAAATGTCTATGAATTGAGTCCGTAATTATTACTCAACAATCCGAAATTATGTCCGTCAAAAAACTCATCTAAAATAAATGCGAACTAATCCGAAATCAATATGTAAAGAATACGAATTCAGTCCGCAATAATCCGAATTTAATCCAGTTAAAAGATTTAATCCGAAACAAGTATGGCACAATCCAAAATCTGTATGCAAAGAATCCGGTAATAGTCAGCGTCAATCCGAATAATATCTGATCGAAACACCACAGTCCGAAAATAAGTCTTATAAGAATTTGTAAATATATACAATCCAGAAACAGTTCAAAACAATCCACAATCAATACAATTCAAAGACTTAATCCAGAATGATTTTGGTATAATATTGAATTTGTATATTAAAAACAATTTGTATTAAATGCAGCTAAATTCAAACTATAATTATAATTTCGTAGGACAAAAACCTGACAAAAACCAGATTAATTCCGGATTTAATAATTTCATATTTTTAAGTTACGTATTATCAGACTAACTTCGGATTAGATCGGACTAATTCCGGATTCACTCGTTATACACAAACCGCATTGCGTTTGAATTTATCCGGACAAATTCCGAGCGACAGAAACCTGTCCATAAGCAGACTGTTTCGGATTAGCTGCGGATTCACCGGTTAAACCAACCGGATCACTTCTGCATTTACTAGTCGCATATGATCTGACGAACTACAGACTAAACCGGACTAATTACCGATTCAATAGTTATAAAAAACGGTATTGGTTTCAAACTTAATTCATGGTGTGAAAAAACTCCACAATAAACCGTACTGTTGCGGACAAATTCCGGATTAGTCCGAAATCGGTCCTACATTTTATTCAGGGTATTTACTTATGGTAAATAAAATATTTAATTTTGCAGTCAATTTGTTTTTACAAATTTACTAGTATTATTAGTTATCTTGTTTCAATATTAAAATTAACACTGATGAGTTAGTTTCTTTTCATTTCTTTTCGTGGCACTTCATAAATTCTATTATGAATTTGAACTCCCATGCGAGAGTGTTATAGTGGTTAGTGTATTCGATTTCGGTGCGTTATAATGTTAGATAGGTGTAGGTTCGATTCCCCAAGCGTTAGAAATGTTAAGTTAATGTAAATATAATTGCGATAGGTAAATCGAAAAATATGTTGAATGTACCACAAAGTAATAATAATTAATATGTGTAACTTGTATAATTATTTTTTTATTAACATTCACTAAATTGTCTAGACTAATTTTTGACTGTTTCGGACTAATTCCGGTTTCACTAATTAAAATTAACTGATTAATTTCGGACTTTATCGGACAAACTCCGGTTTCACTAGTTGTTCACAGACCGTATAGAGTTCTGATTTTTCCGGATTAATTTCGGGTGACAAAAAACCTGACCACAAACCGCATTGTTTCGGACAAACTTTGGATTAGTCCGAAATCTGTCCGGTTTTTTAACCAGGCATATGTTTTCGTGGTAGTTTTTCGCGTAAAAATGAATGGCGCTATAAGTTTTTTATAAAAATCAATTTTTCTTCATTTATTTATAACAAATTGTTAAAAAAAAATTTTAACATTCAACATAAATAATTATCATTAGACCTCATGACAGGATCCCAATAGTTACTTTTTTATATCTGCATTCCTTTGCCTATAGACATCAATGGGTTAATGGAAAAAATCTTTTCCTTAACACTTTCAGTCCCAGTGGTCGAATATCGACCACCTTTTAAACCACCGATTTTTTTAACATAACTTAAGGCGTACTTGCGTTTGCGAAGGCAAAAAATTGTCCCCACTTTAATGTTTTTTTCACAGTCATTTTATTTAAAATATTAAAAACGATTTTTGCACCTTAAAGTACATTATAAAAACTACAAAAAGAAAAAATTGTTTTGTTTTTTAACCGTTCTTTACGATTCGTAGAGGGCCTCAAAAATTGGCGATCTAAAATTTGTAAGAGTTTGCGGTGCCCCCTCTACAGCCGCTTCTGACAGTCTAAAATCAAAAAAACAAAATTTATTCGTTAGTATACATTAATACCTAGTGGACTAATGTGATGAAATTAAAAAAATTTAAAAAAACGAAAATGCGGTACTTTTAAGTGGACATTCCAGTTCAAAATGTAAAAAAAATCGATTTTTTTTGTTTTTATTTTCGGATTTCTTATAGTGTCAAGAATACTCTCCTAAAGTATTATTGCAAAATTCGAAGTAAAACAAAAGTTATACATCCTTATTCTTCGCAATGTCAAAGATGTTTTTGTATGCGGCTAAGCAATTGAATGATTTAAATGTTTTCTCATTTGCATTTTTTAAAAAAGACAAACAAAAATGTATTTGGTGTTGCTGATCATAAATTAGATATCAAATTTTCAAAATTTAAAATGGCGATAAATGCCATATTGGTATGGCAGAAAAAACAATTTTTTAATTTTAATTTTTTTTTGTTTAATTTTTTTTTCGTCCACTATATTGCATCCGCCATTTGTAATTTTGAAAAAATAAAGTCATATTCATAATCAGCGACCCCAAAAAACCCCCCGTAACGATTTTCAAGCAAATCCAATGACACAGCCCCACAAAAAAAAGTGTCGTGCGCGGCAGACCAGACTAGTCATTTCCTATGTATTTTGACGCGCTGAACACGAATCCGAAGTCCGTTTTGCTCCATCACGTCAGGATTTTTTTCTAACCTCAAAAAATCTGTCGGATTTTGAGAGGTAGGCTATTTTTTCTTAAATTAATGGATTTACTTCAAACTTGGTAACTAGGGGTTTTTTGGGTCGCTGATGACAAATTTGAAGTTAGATTTTCAAAATTCAAAATGGCGGCTCCAATATGGCGGACGAATTTTTTAAAATTTAATCGATTTACTTCAAACTTGGTAACTAGGGGTTTTTTGGGTCGCTGATGACGAATTTGAAGTTAGATTTTCAAAATTCAAAATGGCGGATCCAATATGGCGGACGGATTTTTTAAAAATTGATAGATTTGCTTCAAACTTGGTATCTAGGGGTTTTTTGGGTCGCTGATTACGAATTAGAAGTTAGATTTTCAAAATTTAAAATGTTGGCTCCAATATGGGGGACGAATTTTTTAACTATTGATGGATTTACTTCGAAGTTGGTATCTAGGGGTTTTTTGGGTCACTGATTACGAATATATAGTCAGACTTTCACATTTTGAACCCCCTGCACGGAAAAAATGTCCGTGCACCGCTTGTCTCACTTCCAGTGCAGTTGATGCAGAGGTTGTCCGATGGAAGTGCGATTGCTGTCTCTAAAAAGGGCCGTATATGATCCCTTTTCAAAGTGTAAGATTTGTACTGTAATTATGGACCATTGGTGCACATATAGAGATAAACAGTGCATAGAAATTTTTTCCGTGTGGCTGCTCCGAAAGATT